ATTCTTTTAACATTTTTATCTGTGTGTGTGTGTGTGTATATATATATCAAAACATTTTCTTTTAATGGATGCTCTTAAAAGAAAAATATCAGTTTTATTTATTTATATATATATATATTTCTTTTAAGAGCATCCATTAAAAGAAAATGTTTTGATACAGAAATAAAGTTAACAATAGTACATAATACTCGATGGGTCTGAGCTATGATTATGTTGTGATTAAATATTTATTTATAGTTGATGAATATATGTTAGTATGTTGAGGGGCTCTACAGAAACCCAAAGTTAGATAAGGGTGGGTATGATATCCAGGCCTATTTATTTTCTTGCTTTTTAGTACCTGGGTTGAAATCCTGGCCCCAAAGAAATCTGTGGCAAAACTTCCATTGACTTCAGTGGAACTAGGATTTCAACCTTGGTTTTTTAAATGTTGTAATAGGTAACTTATGTTGCCACTTAGGAACCTTACCAGGTTTTTGAAACAATAAATAAAACTGATCTCATATTAAGTGACAAAACTACATGAGTTATTTTTTTCTTATACTTGATTGCTTTTGAAATATTAACACAAGTTACCATATAGAAAATAATTTCAGTTTTTCCAAATATGTCATATATTAAGGCATTATCTAAATACAGTAAAAGCTGTGTTATCTGGCATTTTACCAACCGGAAAGCTCTAGAAACCAGCGTTTCTGATATCCATTAAAAGTCCAGTTGGTGTGAGACAAGTAGGCTCCCCACCTGGCTCTGCGTGGCTCCCCGGAAGCAGTGACATGTCCCTGCTGCTCCTAGGTGGAGGAATGGCCATGGGGCCTCTGTGTGCTGCCCCCCCTCCGCAGCTCCCATTGACTGGGAACTGCAGCCAATGGGAGCTGCAGGGACGGCGCCTGCGGGCAAAGGCAGCACGCAGAGCCACCTGAGGTGAGTGCTGCCTGTATCCGGCACCCTGAAACCCTCCCGCACCCCAACCCCATATTCCTCCCAGAACCTGCACCCTAGCCCTGGGCCCCCACCCATACCCAAACTAGTATAACTCTGAGGTAACCGGAATTTCTGACTAACCGGCACCTCCTATTTCCCCAACATTCTGGATAACAAAGCGTTTACTGTAAATGCTGCAGATATAACCCTGTCATACATCATACACCATCTCATTTAGGTGTAATAATTATAATAGTTCTTGTAGAAAGAGCCTTAGAATTCCAAAGATTGCATTGGAGGAAAAGTATCACATAATACTCCAGAGATTTTGACCTCATTAAATTTTAGGGGGGAAATATATATACAGCACTCTAAGAATTGACTAGCGGTAGAGTCTAAACTCAGTGGGTAAAAACAAAACTTCCCTACCATACAGAAAACTTAATACATTAGAACACAAAGTTTAATTTGTAAATTCTACCAAACATATCCACAGCATACTTCTTCCCCCTAGCCAAAATCAATTGAAGTCAATGGGAGTTTAAAGCAGTAAGTCCCTTTGTTTAATGTTTATAGATAGCCTTTTTGTCAGTGTTGGATTAAATGTGGGGGGAAGGGGAGAAAATAAATTAAAAGCATCTTCCAGTGACATAAGCCTCATGAAGAATTAACTAGGATAAGCACTTATTCTAGTTGGTGCACTGACAAGCTGAACAATGCAGACAAAAATAATAATTAAAACATAGCTTCATGCTGAGATGAAACTTTCAAGAGTCTCAACTGTGTTGAGCTTATGATTTTTCCATTTTTGTGTTTGCGAGCATAATTATGTCCCAGAGGCAGCAGGAGCTGGTGCTTGTCATTCCCCATTTCCCCCCTCCGAAAGGAGATTAATTTCTTTACACAGAAATCCAAAAGTTGATGCCAGAGCAATAATAATAATAATAATAATAATGTAAACAAGCCTTTTATTCTTTTAATCTGGAATGCATAATTTAATGGCAGAGTAATATAAATAATGAAAATACCACATATACTTTAGATAATTAAGGGTAAACTGAAAAGTAACATTTAATGTAGTATTGATTGACTGTATCAACAAATGACGGCAGACATCTGTATGGATGATAGCATTTAGAAAAATGCTATAAAGTACATCAGTACAGAAGTAGTGGGGGTGGAATGGAGTAGACTTGATGGCTCAGAAAACTGGTAATGGAATATAGAGCCTTTCACCCCTAGATCACCGATTCAAATTGGCCCAGGTCAATAGGGACTGAAAGTCATTACCATCTGATGGCTCTTCAGTGGCTTGCATGAAATGAGTTGGTCCCTGTATGGCTCCCAATGGACAGGTGTTCATATCACAAAACCATCATCTATCACGACTGACACCCTGTTGGGACTCTGAGCAAAGGATAGGAAATGAAAGGGCATGGAGTCAGAATTATCTTTACCCTCCAGATCAGGAGTGAGAAACATTGGTGGATTGGGGTGGTGTAGAGAAACTTGTTCTGTAATTGTCTATACTGTACATGTTCCATTCACATAGGATTTCAGTTTCTAGGCCTATCAATATAGAATTTTTCATCATCACTTAAAAAATTCCCCCACTGCCAACCCACCCTTAAAAACAAAAGTAAAAAAGCACAAGGATTTAAATAGTGATGATAATTATATTGTTAGGGAGTTAGGATAACATGTATTTTTAATTAAAGAGTATCAACCTACAGGTACTTTATCTTATTCCTAATCAGGACTGTAGATGTGTGTTTTAAAACAGATTTGACCTCTGACAATTTACTGAGATGAAGTACAAATTATGGATTTCTTCAGTAACAAATCTGAAAATTTAAAAGCTATTTCTGGTATAGTCACATACTTAATGGGCATGACCTCAAACTGATGTATGGTGTGAAACTCAATGACAATACTTCTTGCCCTTTTATAAACTAATACAGTATTGATATGGTATCAGTGTGGGATACGTTTTCAGAAATGGTGTCTGTTAAGCGTTAAGAGACAGAATTTGGACCACTTCAGTTTCCCCTGGACACACAGATTCCCACCAGTCTGCTTGGCATTCTGCAAAATACAGGAAGCCACCCAATGCTACTCTTCTCATCTGAAAATCTTAAACTTCTGAACCTTTTACTATTATAGGTGCCTGTTTCACAGGAGAACCTGGACAATAGAAACAAATAATGTTTCCTTAGAAGGACTTGGGCCTGTATAAGGAAAGAGAAGTTGAAGATAGTGGAAAAAATTGTCAATGGGTAATGTAAGTCCCTTCCAGTGGAGATATGATGCAGATGTGGTAAGTTAAAAGCAAATCTTTATTTTGAAGCTGCTGGGAACACACAAAGTTTGTTTCCACTGGGGAAAAAATGACCCACTGGTTATAGGTGCTTAACTCAATTTAGCTGCATGTTCAGACAAGGACAAATTGTGTTCAGCACCATTTCAGATCACTCAGAACCATGCATCAAGGTGCCTGGGTTCAGCTACCCATATGTGCTTATTTTCTACTATGTGTTTCAGTGCTTACAAAATCAAGTAAACATGCAGTATATGTGAATGATTCCATGTACTGTACATACATACTGTATTTGTATGTGCAATTGCACAAACATTCTCTGGTTTAACTGAATCTCAAATATTCAAATATTTTTAGTTTACATGTGCACTCATGGTTCTTTATCAATTAAGGATATTAAATGGAAAATAAGTTAATGAAATATTGTAAATATACATAAGTTATGAAATTTATTCATAGCGCCACCAGCAGATTCATAGATTCGAAGGTCAGAAGGGAACCACTGTGATCATCTAGTCTGACCTCCTGTACAGTACATAGACCTTTCCCAGAATAAAAGATGTAATTGAGATACATTGAACATATACAGTAAAGTGTAAACGAAACTTAACAGCATATTAAGTGAACTACCTATGTTCAAAGAAGCCAGTTATTGTTGGCATGGGAATTGTAAACAGAAAAGGCATATAGTGGTCTCCACAGAGGTAAATAAATCAACATCACTTAAAAATCAAGATTGAATGTCCTTCTAAAAAAGATGCACTCTAATTCAACCACAAGTTACTGAACTTGCTGCAGGATTTACTGGGGGGAAATTCTATGGTTTGTGCAATACAGGAGAGCAGACCAGATAATCACAATGGTTCCTTCTGGTCTTAGAATCTCAGTTTTAAAACCTTGATTTTCAGTCTCCACACAGAAGTATAGGTTGATGTACGGAGTGGTAGCACTGAATTATGAGTTGACTGAACTGTGTATTTGTTTTTAAATAACTGGTGGAGTGCTCAGAGCCTGAGTGTGGGTGCTCTTTATTGTTTTATGTCAAAGCAAAACAAAGGGTAGGTCAACACTTACCTCCGGGTCCGGAGGTAAGCAATCGATCTTCTAGGATCGATTTATCGTGTCTTGTCTAGACGCGATAAATCGATCCCGGAAGTGCTCGCCGTCGACACCGGTACTCCAGCTCGGCGAGAGGAGTACGCAGCATCGACGGGGGAGTCTGCCTGCCGCGTCTGGACCCGCGGTAAGTTCGAACTAAGGTACTTCGAATTCAGCTACGTTAATAACATAGCTGAATTTGCGTACCTTAGTTCGAAATGGGGGGTTAGTGTGGACCAGGCCAAATATATGTTTGAAAAAGACCTAGCACTATTGGCACTATGCCAATAAAAAAAGTAACAGGCGTAACTGTGACAGATTCCTAATTTGTGTTGCCAGGATCTCAACTAACATGCCAGTGAAATAGGCTTTTTGATCATGTTGACCTGTTTGGGGGGGAAATGGAGAAGGTTGTATTTATAGTTCTATCCAGTTTATATAGTAAACATAACAGATACATACCTGCCACCACCAGAAAGCTATAAATAAGGATGTTAGCAAAGAAAAATATGGATGACTTTTAACTACACTGGACACCAAGAACAGTTTAAAAAATAGGGATGATCCCTCGTAAGCAGGCAGAGTTGGCAGGTAGGCGAGCACTGCATAGCCAGCTAGCTACAAGGTACCTTACAACTAGAATAAAGTACAAAGCACTGACCCATCTAATTCACGAAGAGGCCACATTTTCCACGGGGCTCGGAACTGGCCCCTGCGAAGCGAGCGAGCGCAGCTGCTGGTGGGGAGCCCGCACCTGGCCTGCAGGTGCACGTTCAGCGGGAGGGCCCTGAGAGGCCTCCTCGCTGAGCACCCAACAGGCCGGATGGGGGGCTGGGTTCCCCAAGGGGACACAGGAGCCCGCACCTCCCGCCTAGCTCTGCGGCTGGGCCGTGGGCGCTGGAGTCCGCCACCGCCAGGCTGCCCTCGCAGGCGGCGGTGGGGCTGTCCCGAGCTGTGCGCGGAGCGGCTAGGCTCGCCCGTCGCTGCAGTGGGAGGCCCTACCCCGAGAAGCCCGCCCAGCGGCGGCAGGAGGAGGCGGAGCTCGCCCTCTCAGCCCAGGAGGTACGAGCCGCTGCTGACGTTGTTGGGGTGGGGGAGGGAGCGCTCCGGCCCAGCCGCAGCCGTTGTCACTGCGCTTCCCCCGGGGCCGTTGCCTCACCTAGCGGACTCGACCCAGCGAGTCCCGCCGCCGTTAGCGGATCATCGCACGAGCGTGGCCAGCGCCATCGGTGGCTCGCCCTCTTCCACCTTTGCCTTCTCTTCATTGGTCGAGCAGAACCTCTCGTCTCCTCGATTGGTCCAGGTGCGCTGCCAATCTAGGCGAAGTGACGTTCCCCGGCTCCCTGCTCGGGGAGGCCATTTTGGTTGCGGGCAGGAAAGCCCCTGGGGGAAATGGTGCCAGTTAGGGGGTGGTGCGTGGAGTGCCCGGAACGGATCGGGTCCAGGCTGCCTGGCGGTGCAGCGCGCCCATCCGCTCCACTTGCGTCACCCTAACCCCGCGGCCTTCACCCGGCCAGTCTCTGTACACTCGCATCCCGCCCTCACCGTAACTCTCTCCGGCAGGGGCCCCGGCGGCTCAGCCCTGGAGGCAGCAGGTGTGTGCGCTGCCCTGCGCGGGGCCGTCCCCGCTGCTCGCGGCTCTCCCCGGTCGGGCTCTGGAGCTGTGGCGACTGGGGCCTTTAGGGGCTGCAGCAGTGGCTGATGCTTACAAAGCATTAGCTGCCGCTCCTCAAAGGGGATCGTTGGCAGAGTCACTTCACCTCCCCCAAACATACTAGGCCCTGCGGGGGGGGTTGTTCCCAAAAGACGCTCCTTGGCAGACGCTGGGGTTGGCATGATTGCGTTGATCTTGAATCAGTACAATTTACCCTCCTAGGAGGACGTGGTTTGTGCCTACGTGGAGCCCTCAGAGAGATAACACCGCCCCAGGTCAGTATTTTAAACATGAACACAGGGAAGATGAGGAACAAGGCTCGCTTTTGCAAATGATCATTCTGTTGGGAGTTATTCTGCATTTCTGGGAAATGGCCATTGTTCCCCTATATCCTTGTTCCTTACCAAATAGTGAATTCTCTTAGCATTTAGATTTATTAACGTGAGCCTGCTAAGTAGAAACAAAGCCACTCAAAATTAAACTTTAAATCGTCTTAAATAACTATTTTGCTGCTGAAAACAGAAAACTTCAAAAATTTAAAGTGCTTTAAGGATATAGTGCTTTGAGAAATATTGTTTTTATTTAAATGGAGAATACTACCGAAACTGGTAATATATCTCCCAGCGGAAGTAAGTTTGTTTATTTTCATGGAGTTCAATATTAAATACTACTATCCATGAACTGCTTATGATGGGAGCAGCCCAGGTGTCAAATCATGAATTCATTTATCACATTTCATGTATTGTTTTTTAGCTGCTTCACAGCTCTGGTTGCAAAACTGATGGTGGCAAATTGTAACTTGAAGCCAGATGTATACCTTTATACAACATCCTGAGTGAGGTTAGTGCTTATTGAAAATAAGGGACTAATAATATTAACTTGAGCTAGGGTTGGGGCATGCATCATGCAAATTCCCTCATACTCCTCTGACAAATTATTTATATTCTGAACTGAAGCTCTTCCTCTTTCATTCTAGAGCTTCTCAAGCACAAAATGCCAGATTGTTTGCTAGCTTTGTGATATGGACGAGAAAGAGCGAATCAAAGTAATTGTTGATCCAAGGCAGGATTTGAACACATGTCCCTACAAGGCCTGTGTACTAGTCTGCAATACCACAAAGCCTTTTGACACCATAATTGTGGATTGGCTTGTAGGATTTACTGTTTCGAATAGCATGCAATGTTGTAGCTGGGTTGGTCCCAGGATATAGGAGAAACAAGGTGGGTGAGGTAATATTTTTTTATTGGACCAATTTCTGTTGGTGAGAGAGACAAGCTTTCAAACTTACACTGAGCTTGTCTCTCTCACCAACAGAAGTCGGTCCAATAAAAGATATTATTTCACTCACTTTGTCTGTTTTCTTTCACAACGTTGTGCTGCAGATCTGCTATGTATTTTTTGCTTTTGAATCTCAATTCTTGGTCACTTAAATTTATTTAAAAGCAAAACTTTAAAAATAAACTAGACAAATAGTATTTTCTCTTTTACCTCCCTCCTCCCCCCAATTTACACTGAATTGTAGTTAAAAATCATCCCTTTTCCTCAGAAAAGGAATTGGGAAGTTTTTTGGTTGTTTGTCTGGGATATCTTTTCATAGTAACTGCTTAAAAATATTTTACTATGCAACAGAAGTTCCTAATTACAGAGAATACGCTTTTTATAATAGGATATTTTGCAGTGCCTTTATGAACCATCCTTGAAGTTAGGATGGTGAATGTTACAAAGAGTATTTCTAGGGAAAGGATGATTATAATGGTGAGTACCATAGTGGACCGCCCTGGTTCCCTATTATATCACATATATAAAGTATTATTTGAATGAGTCATATAAAGAAAGTGGCATGCAAATAGTGTAGGTCTCACCCACCCTGGCTATCTCTACTTCCCTTGCCCTCCAAAACCCCCCAGGAACCAACACAACAAAATAACCAACATACATACATCACAGTACATACGTACTTCTGAGAAACAAGATTGTGTTTTCTGTTGTGAAACTACAGAAATGTATATGTTCTGTCTGGCACAATCCCTGTCTGAAAATGTTATGGGTATTCTCTTGTAAATAATGTTTCATTTGCTAACAGGTTCCCTTTTTTACTAAATAAAAAAAAGAGAATTACATGAAGCATATACAACCAATCATTTTTTAAAATAAAAAATGAAATGCTTTTCAATGCTATGGATACCTTCATTTCAAATGAAGTCTACAATGATTAAATATTAAAATGATCGATGCTTTAAATTAATATAAAAACTTTGCAGGAGATTATTACAAAGATTAACTTTTTTAATGTTTTAATACCTCCACACTTTATCAATCACAGACACTGAAACTGTTTTCACATCACCATACTGATGATCTCGTATATCATTGCAGTATTATGCACTAACTGTATAAACAGCATGGTAATGTTGGTAGAGAAGATGAAGAAACACAATTCATGTTATTGCTCTTTAATATGCAATTTTGGTGTTGAAATATTCTTTGACATGTGAATGAGTGAGTAGTTATTTTTCTAATGCTGAAGATGAGACAGAAACCCAATCCAAGGAATGAAATTAAATGTCATTTGCCATTCATAAAGAACTTTGTTTCATGTAATGACAAACCTAGGTGGTCTGTGGCAAAGGTTGAAAGAAGAAGAAAAAGCCCTAGCATGTGTTTTCTTAGGAAGGACCCACATGAATGCAGCCTTAGTATCCTAAAATTGTCTGCAACTGCCTACGATTAGAGATACATTTTTACTCTTTCAGTTTGAATTATGTTTGCGGGTCATGAGAAAATGTCATGGCACCCCAGGTGCTTTTGTTTCACTAGCTGTATGTAGCCCTACCACTGTAATTCAGAGGATTGACTAAACATTTACCCCAGGCGTTCTTAAAATGGAGGATGCTAATTTCTCTGTTTTACATTTCTTCTGGATTTCCTTAAGCAGTAGGTTTAGTATTATTTTTCTTGATTTCACCTAGCTAACCATCTATTCCAGTTGTACTATGCAACTTTATTTTGTGTAGCTTATATATCCCAGGACTCTTTGCAGAGCTAAATGCAGAACAGTATGTGAATAAATTATTATTTATTTGAGTGTCAACAGTGTGCTTGGTGCTATACAAAACAAAGAAGACATGATCTCTGCTGTATGGTGCTTGCAATCTCAAACATAGAACAGTGATAGTATTTTTAATTCATCACTGTGCAGAGTCTAAGTCCAATAAAAGAGGTAAAGAGGAATAAGGAGGCATAGTCAGAAAAGAATTGATAAAATTAGATTAGAAAATAGATGAAGAGCTGGCAAATTGAATAGATACAGAAAGATTGTTCCAGATGGCAGAACCTACAGCAGACAAAGTTCTTGCACCAAAAGTGAAAAGTTTGAGAGAATGGACAGAGCAAAGGTGGATGCTAGATGAATGTGGAGAATGGCAGTGAGAAGAGGAAGTCCAGAAGGTAGACCGGAAAGGACAATATCGTAAACAAGGAAGACATTGTTATTCATATAGGCCAATTTGTTATCAGCTGTAGGGAGTGCTATCTGTGAGTTAGTTTTTTCTAACTATTGGGCAAAATCATGGTGTAATTCCATTGAAATCTATTTTAAAAAAATCCTTTTACATTCTGAATTATCCAAACATTGCTCTCTTAGTTCAATTTTTAATATAGTAGAAATACTGATCAGATGGAAAGTGTAAAAAAATTTCCAAGTTTCAATCAAAATTTTCTTTCGGGTTGTGCTATTTGGTATAAATAAGGAAAAAAGATAACTGGGCCCATGATAATTGCTTCTGATAGTTAACGTCCTGTGTTGATTAGTCCCATTGACTTCATTTTATCTCCACTACAATTTCAAGTGATTTTGTTATTCTTCACTTCCTGTTTTAAATGCGGTTTGTTTTTAAACTGCTGCTGCATTTCTGTGTTCAGTATACCACATATCTACAGCTCTGTTAAAATCTCACCTTAAAGTAAAACTCTACTCTGAAGAGTGACTATGTAACAATGGTACCTACTTAGAAAACAGAGCTGTTCCTTTCATGTGGTATGTATGACAGAAATTGGAAATCATGTGCCCAACAGCCAGATTTAATTTTTTGACTTTTGAAATCTCAACGTTAACATTAAATTCACTGTAGGTTGAATTGTTACTGCCACCTGTCGTTAAGGTTGCCTGACTCTTCCCATTGGCAGACCCTGTTTTCAGTTGCTTATAACTTTGCTAAACTTACCTGTTTGGACTGAAATTTCCTGCTTCAGGATGGTTTTTTGTGTGTGTGTAGACTTCAACATAAGGTTGAGCCGTTTCCAAGAACAAGATCAGGGGAAAATATGTTGCTTTGCCCATGTTAAAAAAAATTCCTATATCTGTTGTGATGAGAACCTCCAATGCCTCCATGCTTTGAACCCCACTGGCAACGTGTGTGTCTCGTCCCACCTAGTTGCTGGTCTACATAGAGACTGACAATTTACTGCTGTCTGTTATGCTGTCTCAAGAGTTAGAAGTGTGTAATGGATCTAAAAGTTCCAGCCCGGCTGATGACCCGTGTGTGTATGAATATGATGCCACCTGATGGAATTTCTGTTTTTGAAGTTTGCTTCTTTAAAAACTTAGGAAATTACATCCAGAAAGCTGCATTAAAAGAATGTTAAGGTTGCAAAGTCAAGCACTCACAAAATTAGTAAATGCCAGATTTAAGGTTGTTTGTGCAACCTTAATTTAGTCCCCTTGTGAGTATGCATTATGATGCATGTTTTAATTATATGATCACATACTATTTTTGCCACAGGACCCTAACTTATTCAGTGTTACAGGATGTACCATGCTCTGGCAAAAAATGGAAGTTGTGTAGTGAATGAGGCAGGGATTTCAGGAAGAGAAAGAATGAGCTCATGCTTAATTGAAGGTTAAATGTTGCCCTGGAGAATTGGATTTATCCCTGCCTCTGCCACAGAGTTCTAGTGTTTTGTTAGGCAAATCTCAAACCAAACATTTCACAGGTGGCTGCTAACTATGTTGTTCATTTTCTGGGTGCTTGAGAATCTGATTTGCAGAACTGTTGAGCACTTGCAACTGTAACTGAAGTAATTGGAAACTGTGCTTTGAACATGTAAATGCTAACTGTTCTCAAAAGTCAGGCCCTAGATGTCTCAAATTGGGCAACCAAAATTAGTTAACACTTCTGACCTTAATCTCTTTATACCTCAGATCTCCATCTGTAAAATGGGAATAATACCTTCACATCACAAGGGTGTCATGAAAATCAATTAATGTTTGTGAAGCACTCAGATATTGAGTAATGAGCACCAGATAAAACCCCAGCACAAAATTAATATTGCTGCCTTCAGAGCAGGGTTTGAATAGCGTGCAGTAAATAACCTAGGTCACACACAGAAGAGCAAACAAAATATTGAATTGCTGCTCATTCAGCAAACACCATTTTGTGCACTGTGTGAAGAAAGGGTCCTGTGGAAAAAATAGTATGTGATCATGTAATTAAAGACTCTAGTGTAGGGTATAAGGTAGTATTCCTATAATTAATTTGTGACCCCTCTAGTGGTGCTCACTGTGTTTTGTGTTGTAAAAACCATGTGAAACCAGTCCGAGTTGGCCGTATTTACATAGCTAGGCCTGGCAAATTTGTTACCGCTTTGGAGCTGTGCTCCGGCTCTGCTCCAGCTCTAGGCAAAAACCTGCTGCTCCGCGCTCCAGCTCCGGGCTCTGCTCCAAAGCCCTGTTTTATATTAAGTAAAAACATTTATTTGTGATCCCTGTGGTTTCTTCATATTGACAAGGGAGTGTCTTAAAAGACACAACACTACCTAAAAACTTTGTTGAAGGCCCCTGA